CATATTATCTTACAGCTCAAAAGCACAAAATTATAAATAACGATAGTTATAGTTACTAACTAAAAAATTAATTTGCGCTTCAGCTGGAAGTTACAAACTAAAATTTTAACAGAACTTTACTTTTGCGCACTAAATATAACAATAAATATCTTCAAGCAAATAGTTAAGTAGAATTAATAACCCGATTTCAAAATAAACGAGACTTTTAAATTTATAATCGGACGCGAAGCTTAAATGCACTGAAACAGAGTACAGCTACCTAGTTGACGGTTGAAAAAAAAAACTGAGAGTTACGCCTGTCACACGAACTGATTTACCAATATTTCGTCTTTATAGTTAAATTATCTCTTGTCTTCTAAACTCACTAAGTTTGTATTTCTAGCAGAATTGACAGAAAAAGTAAAAGTCGAAAAAGGATTCAATATAAAAAAATAATGTAAATAACTCTTGTTGAGTAGTATGTGCCTATAACACGTTAAGTAACCATCACCGCTGGTCTTTGGCCAGAGTTCGGCTTTGCAGCATACTGACCTCTTCGTATTTTATACAGAGTGCGGCAGCAATAACCCTCCCATTTCGAAAAATCACTGTGTAGAGGACTAGGCAGAGGGATGCGATTCTCCGCTAGGTACGGTACATAATAAATTTTTCAGCCGTTGCTATACCTTAATCGGGTGAGTATCGAGGCTTTTTGATGGAAGCTTTATTCAGAAATGGCGCCTGATCTGTAGTTGCGACGCAAAGGGCATTCCGCATGCGATCCGCTTTGCATTCAAGTGAAAGAGTTACAGACTAGAAAAAGATTCTCCTGTGGATTCAGTGAGTAAGGGCAGCAGTATCTGCACTGAAAAAAAAAAAAAAAAAAAAAAAAAAAAAAACCAACCGGACATCCCAGAAATGTGAGAACCCCGAACACATCGTGATGGCTCCGATTCAGCTGTCTCCAATGTGTTTAGCATGGAAACATGCCTCATCTCTTAAAATTTCGGAAAGAACTTTGAGGTGAATTTTGCACATATACAGAGAGATTAGGGGTCCGCCGAGGGAGTAAGACGTGTCTGTAAGCGCTCCGCAATTATTCCCTGTAATTAGCGGAAATTTTAATTACAAGTGATAGAAAAGTTGTTTTTAAGTTGAGTGAGTGTTGGAGGAGCATTTTGATATAAGTTATGTGTTTGTGCGTCTAGTGGTTTTTGTGAAATTAGTGTTTTTGTTATTCGTCCATTGTTCTTGTCTTCGTAGCGTCTCTCTTTTGTGTGTGTCAACAGTGTTAACCTTACGAAATTTATTCTAAGTAAGTCCAAGAAATCATTGATAAAAGTGTTTAAAAAATTCATTACCCAGGATTACATTGGATTACCATGTTCGTCTTATCACTGCCAAGGTAGGCTTCTTACATTCTATCTATTGAGCTGTGAGTAACATTGAATAACTGACCAGCTTCATTTTGCGTCAGCCTTATTGTCAACAACAACTCGACCTTGACTAAGGTCGTATGCACAGTTCGGTAGAGCCTAGTAACAGGCACTTTATATTTTAACATTTGATTCTGTGGTCTTGATTACTGAATATAACTAAATCTTATTATTTAATCCTACTTCAAATTCTTGATAATGCTCAATTGTTGTTAGTAGTAAGAGCGTATTCAGTTTTAATATCATTTATATGTGAATTTAATGCTGTAAGTTCTGTTCATTCAATAGTATAGAGGCAGCTGGTTCTGTTCTATGTAACTGCTTTTTTATACAGCCTATTTCTATACATTATGTCAACATTTTAATATTATCCTAGAAACTTTAGTTACATTAAGTCTGATCTGGAAGACTTATCTAACCAGATTTTTGATATCACTTTTAATTAAATTATTAAAAATTAATTTGTAAATTTGCAATAGCCTCTGGTTCCGATTTGCATAACCGGGACTTACACAACCGGGTTTTCACAAGAGCTGATAGCTTTTGTGCTAAATAGGTACTTTCAAAGGGCTATTACTAAAAACTGAATACATATGTGTCAATAATAGTATTTTTTCATAACTTTATACTTATAGTACAAAGCACTAATGGTATTTTAGGTCTCCGATAGCTATCTAATTATTGTTAAATAATTTTCCAAAGTGGGATATATGAGTTTTATTCACCACGTGTGTTTGTTTATATTTTGTACTTAGCTATTTTGCCCATATTTTTAGTATTCTGTGGTAGTATTGTGTTATACAACGTTTTAAAGGCATATTAAATTATGATCTAAAACTATAATTTAGCTCTATTTGATTTTTTTTTCTCATACTGTATTTATTTATTAAACATATTATGTGTTTATTTGCAATTATTGTGCTTTTTTAATGGTTTTATTACCCTGCAAGATATGTTCACCAGTGCATTTTTGTTCAACGGAGAAATTTTTCTAAGTCTCATACCAGAATTATAAAGGAAAATTTTAGGGATAAGTACCCCACACACAGAAACACTTTTTAGACTAATCATACGCTAAGCCTCCCCCCAATTTCTTTTTTTTTTAAACCCAAGCTAGCCCCACAAAATTACATACATAGGTTCCCCTTTCCTTCCTATTGACATCCCCAGTTCCCCCTCTTCTCTAACTCCATTAGTTTCAGTGCTATTCCTATTTTAATTACGTTTAATTGTATTTAATTACGTTTTATTTCTCTTGCAGCTCTTCCCTGTAACATTCTAACACCTTCTTTTCTTTTTATTCACTCTCTAAACAAAATTCCCTTTTCGTAGACACCTTACTTATAGTTAAGAAGTTATAAGCCCCTACCCTTCTTCTTTCCCCCTTTTAATTCACAACCCCCACTTTTTAATTCTCTAATAACTCAGCAGCCACACCACCTAGAGCCTCCATTCCACCTTCGTTTGTCTTCCCTCCTTATTACCTCTCCGATTTTACCTCTCACTTTTCTCTACGACCCTTCTTTCCCCCCTTTTGATTCTAACCCCCTTTTTTTTTCTCTTATTACTCAGTAACTATTTAACCCAAAGTTTCCACTCCACCACAGTTTGACTTCACTTCTTCTCCCTTATTAACAATTTCATCTACTATTCATCTACCCCCTCTTTCTTGCCCCCTTTCTAATTTGTTTCTTTCATCTGTTCTCAGTGTCCATCCCTCTTCTTTCTTAGTTTTCCCCGACACATAGTGGACTTAGAGGAATTTCTCTAAACCACGGTTTCTTTTACTAGATGGTCAATGAATAATCCTTGTATATTACTAACTGTAATGTTAATCTACTGAGGTAAAACTACCTCATCTTTCTTGCATTCTGAGATAAACAGGGAGCAGTAGGCCCGTATATTAACAATCTCAAACTACACTTCAGAACATTTTGTGGTTAGTGCAAGGTATAATACACTGACATCCCCAGGTGTGATATCCCCAGGTGTGACTTCTTACTAGGCTTACTGTTTAAATTGTACTTACTCACAGCCTACCCTAATTATAGTGTCACTTTGTCTCTGTTATCTGTACTGCTATAGTGATAGTGTTATTTTAACATAGTGTATGCCACACATACATTAGAACCTGCATCAAAGCAACAAGTTCTTTATTTACTGTGACAGCTTTTACACTAGGCTTTTAATAGTCCACAGTGTAACATATTTCTCACTGAACTGAGTTAGTCCTATCTGTGACACTGACTAAACTTTAATGCAGTAATACCCTGTACCGAACTTTGAACTATTATTTATTATTATTATTATTATTATTATTATTTTATTATTATTATTATTTGTTCAGTACTGCTATCTTGATAATATTCCCTGTATTACTGAACTGTGCAATCAACTGCATTTTCAAACACAACTTGCATACCTCTCTATCATATTCGTGAATGTGTAAGAATCAGTGTTGTGTGACATCAATTTTGAATAGTGTTGCAATATTGAATAGTGCTTCCTTGCCATGCAACGAAAATCTGCTGTGCCGACTGAAGAAGATCCATACCCCTATCAATGGCATACTAGACCCTTTTGCCTTACTTTCTTCAGATCGGACGCACGCAGAGAAAATCGTAGCATTAGCAGAAGATATCAGACAGGCCTCGGCGACATCCAGAAGGAACAAGTACCTCTTGCCAAACGACGTAAGGATACGCATACAAAAGTCGTTAGAAAGTTTTACAAGGGCTAGTTCTAGAAGGCCCGGAATACACACTGAAGCCTGAGACAATGAAATTGGGGTCAACACATCCACCTTCGTCTGTTGCGAAGCAGTACGCGCACAGATTTCTACAACCTCGAGCGATCTTCCTGCACTGAGTGCATCAGTTTCTTACGCAGCAACATCAGCAGTTATACAGGAGCCACCCCCACGCTCTTTTGCAGAAGTAGTGAAACTAACACAGAGGCCTAGTTTAATAATAAAGCCTACTGGTAAGAAGACAGAAGCACAACTCAGGAAGGAGCTCCAAGAAAAAAGCCCCGATTAGCAGCCTACAAATTGCGGTGGAGCATATCTCCTCAACATCGAAAGGAGAGTTAGAGGTCTTTTGCAAATCAACTAAAGGACATAGATCAATTAGAAGAGAAATTACAAAATGCCAACCTTGAGATTGATCTGCAAAGAAGAAAGCCACGCTGCACAGTTCATAACGTCCCGGACAACATCATGCCCGAGGAACTCATCGGGGAAATCGCTGCAACAGCAGAAATCCCATTCAAAGGCATCAAAGCGCTCTTCAGACTCCGAGAACGGAACCCAAAGCGAGTCAAATGGGTTTTGGAGTGCCAACCGTCCATCCTCCCGGCAGTCCTTAGGGCAAGACGAATTTTCACAGGCTGGCACGCACACGCAATCACAGAGTACCTACCTGGGCATCCGTCGCTGCTACAAGTGCCAGCAGCTCGGACATACCCAGAATAAATGCACATGCAAGAAGAACTTCTGTGTCCTACTGCGCCGGACCGCACAATGTCAAAAACTGCAAAGCAGAACTACCAGAATGTATTAACTGCCGTGACGCAAACGACAGAGACATGGAACCATGCACGACTGTAGGCACCCAGCCTACGCAACTGAATGCGCAGAATACCAGCGAGCAGCTGCCTACATCCGCAGCATCACCCAATATTAATAACAACACACCCTACGTAATTGCGAAAGTCAACAAGGCGCAAAACGTTCAGATAAATACAGTGTTTAACTCAAACGAAGAACCCATCAGATTTTTACAAATCAATATGCAGCGAGCCAGGGCTGCGGTCGCTCAGACAGTTCAATTCGCAATTGATAATAAAATAGACTTTATCATAGGTCAAGAGCCATATACCCGCGATGGCGCGGCAGCAGGTTTTCCATTGCAATGGACAGTATTTCAAAGTTCCAATCACGACCATCCACCAAGAGCTATAATAATAAGCTGTAATCCAGACTGGTCTCCAACATCTATCTCACTCGATCAAGATCATGTAGCAGTGCTCGTAGAAGTACATTCCTTCTCTGTTATCTTAGCGTCGATCTATTCTCCTCCAACAGCGGATATTGGCCCGACGACAAGATTCATCCAAAGTGTCATACATCGATTTAAAATCCCAAATATGATCTTCGCAGGCGATTACAATTCACATAATACGGCCTGGGGATATCGAACTACAGACCCGAAAGGGAGAGAACTAGAGGACTTCATATCCTCAAGTAATCTAATAGTCCAGAATACAGCAGATGCACCACCATCCTTCGACAGGGTCTTTGCGCAGGGATGGCCAGACCTCACCCTGACCACTCTGCACGTAGCACCTCTTTTGCAGGACTGGAAAGTCGAAGAGGAAGAGAGCCTCAGTGATCACAAGTTCATTACCTTCTCTATATCGCAGACCACCTCCGTGTCCAAGATCAAACGCTATAACCTTCCTGGCCGAAAATTAACAACATTTACGAAGAAAATTAAAGTGCAGCTAATGCGCCTCGAACCTTCGCTCCAACTAGCTAACACGTCAGCAGAATTAGAAGACTTCTCCGTAACATTACAAGAAACAATGCAAGCCATATGTAATGAAAATCTCCCTCTTAGAAAACCTAAGAGACTCCAAGGCATTCACTGGTGGTCGAGTGCGCTCAGAATACACAGCAACGAAAGTGCAGAGCACCTGCGAAGAAACTCAAAAGCGAAAGACGGTTGGAGATAGAGTCCAACACCCTCACCATATTTCAACGGGAGCGGGCGCGGTACAAAAAGATGATTATTCAGGCTAAGATTACCTTCCTGGAGGGAATTCTGCACCCAAGCAAAAAAGACGTATGGTATTCACCACAAAATAGCTACCGGTAAAATTTTTAAACCTTCGCAGCTACAGATCCCTCTCTCAATCACCAACAGTCAGGAGTACACGGCAGACACCCTACGTACGCTCCTAAACGCAGTTTTCTGCAAAGACGATGTACTGCAGGACACAGTACAGAACAAGCTCTTCTCAGGACAGTAACAACCACACTGGACACCCCAACAGACCCGGATATTACAATTAATGAACTTCAAAAAGTTCTTGCAACTCTGCCGCGCAAGAAAGCCCCTGGGCCCGATGGGATGGACTATGCTATCACCAAAGCAACGATCAAAACTCACCCTAAATTCTTTGTTGACTATTTCAACAAGCTTCTGGCAGCAGGTATATTCCCAAACCATACAAGATAGGGCAAGTTATTTTATTTCTGAAAAAGACCGGAACCCAGCCGAGGCCACATCCTTTCGTCCTATCTGTCTCTTATCGGCAATGGGTAAGGTACTAGAAAGGATTATCATGAACAGGCTACGGTACCATTTACACACGCAAGGATTCTTAAGCCCGAGACAATACGGGTTTAAGGACGGGCACTTCTACAGTCCACCTACTCTTCGACATTAGAGAAGCAATTTTAGAGAATCGACATAGCGGCCACCATACTGCCATGATAAGCATAGATCTCAAAAACGCTTTTGATACATTATGGTGGCCGGCTATCAAACAGGCTCTGCGGAAGGCAAAATGTCCGAGCAACCTGTATAAGATGCTAAGCAACTATCTACAGGATAGAAGACTACTAGCAGTTCACAACTCAGGCATAATAGAACAGGAGCAGACGAGAGGCTGTCCACAAGGGTCGTGCGCTGGTCCACACCTGTGGAATCTAACTTTCAACGAAGTTTTAACAGCTTCATGGCCAGCGCACACAAAGATCTACGCCTACGCAGACGATGCAGCGCTAATAGTGAAAGGTCGAACCCGAAGAGAATTAGAGACTCACTGTAACGAAGTGTGCCAACAATTCTATGCCCTATGTGACAACCTTAAACTGAAAATTGCAGAGCACAAATCCAAAGTGTTATTAATACCTAAAAAGGGAGGTTCTCTTTCAAGAAGACCAACCATTAAGATCAACAATCAGAGGATACAAATAGTCAATCAACTAAAATATCTGGGCCTTACGTTCGACCACAAGATGACCTGGATACCACATATCCAGGACATCAAAATTAGAACAGTGACAATAGCGAAGCAAATGCGATTATTTCATGGCCACAAATGGGGCCTCAATCCTCATATTCAGAAGGTCCTCTTCACCACAGTGGTAAAAAGATAGTCACTTATGCAGCAGCAGTATGGGCTCACCCAATGCAAAGCAGGAAAATTAAACACCTTTCTACCATTCAAAGACCTTTTGCATTGAGTATCACTAGAGCCTACCGCACGACGTCTTCAGACGCGATCAACGTGCTGGCTGGCCTTCTTCCCCTACACATCCGTGTCGAAGAGGAGGCAGCAAGACAAATCGTCCTGCAGCTTAAAAGACCTGTCACCTTTGAGGAAGAATATTTTAATCCAGAGGACTATGAAGCTAAATGCTGCCCCCTGAAAATCCATCCAGCAGCCAAAGGCACCGGAATAAGCCTAATTACCAATCCAACTACGGCCTACCGTCCAGCACAGATTACTATCTTCACTGACGGGTCGAAGATAGACGAAAACGTGGGAAGTGCCTATGTGGTCATGCTGCAAGATACAGTCATTGATCAATGGAAGGGTCAACTAAGGCAATTTAATAGCGTTTTTCAGGGAGAAGCAGTGGCAATTGCGCAAGCAATCCGCTACCTGCAATCCCACCACTCCCGCAACGCTACAATAAAGACAGACAGTCTTTCTTCGCTATACGCAATAGGAAACCCTGACCACCCATCCGATATTATTCAGGGAATACAGGAAGATCTGCGAAAAAAATTCCCAACTCCATACAAGACTTGAATGGATCAAAGCGCATGCCGGCCACCACGGCAATGAGTTGGCTGACCATCTAGCCAAAGAAGCTGCCACAGGAGCAACATCTCAACAAATCAACATCCCATGGCCAGTGTCTTACCTGAAAAGAACATTGCGCTTAAAGGCAATCGGGAAATGGCAGCAGACATGGGACAACAGCGATACCGGCCGACGGACTTATTACCATGTCAGCTACGTGGACACTACCAAAAATTTTGCAAACATGCAATTGGTAAGATACATTACGGGTCACGGACCATTTCCCGAGTACTTTAACAAACGCGGGATAAGTAACACTAGCCAGTGCGCCTGTGGACAGACTGGCTCTCCGGAGCATTATCTAACCTCCTCCTGTCCCCTTACAGAAGGGCTACACATCAACCTTCCGTCGACCAATCGACAAGCTTTCTGTAAGTTTTTGATAAAACAGAGACAGAGGCACTTGGTTAGAAAAATAGGGCTTTTAATGGATAAACTGGCCGATCTTAACACAGACCTGTGCCATACTTAGCCATGTAGACGAATAGTAATTCAGTGTCTAGCACCAACTACCAACACCACAAAATAACTGTGAATTATCGTAAGGAGTGTCCAACACTCCTAGTAATATAGCAAGAATAAACTATTTAATCAATTTGCATTATGCCAACCAAACGAATTATGTCTATTATCTGTACCGCAATATGTAAATAAGGACCATCTGTACCTGTTTATAAATGTATCTTAAGTACCATCACCATGTAGTTATGTTTTATGTATGTATATGTATAATGCACCCCAATGCTTCTATACTCAATGTAATTATGCGCCTTGTACTTGTATATATGTGTTTCTAGTATACATGTTACTGTATTGATCATTAACTGTATTAATCATTGCTGCATTATTGTATTAATATTATTTAGCATCATCAAATTAATAGCACCATTTGAACCTTATTACGTACTTTCAAGTCCACGAGACTAAGGCACTATGTGCATTAAGATTGTGAGCCCAATGATTACTATGTGCCTAATAATATGTATATATATCCTCGTATATATGATAATGTAACCATGCATCCGAATATAACATCACGCAACATGACACTTTACCGCATAGTGTTAATCTAAAGTCTTAATTCTAAAAACCCCCCATTGCATTAACTAACTTCTATAGCATTATTATTATATATATATTTGTTTATATATTATGTATCGTCTGTTTATGTACCATGTATATTATGCTTATAAATCCAATGATTACTGCGTGCCTAATAATTGGGTATACGTGTTTTAGTATGTATATAACTGCATCCATGGCTCCGCGCATATCATCCTGTAGTATGGCACTGTACCACATAGCGTTAAACTAGGATCTTACACTAAAACTAACAGCACCAATGAATTGTTCCAGCATTGTACTAATCTTATGTATTATGTACGTATATGCATAGTGCATCTAATAATTATGTATCCTATGTTAAGTTATGCACCTAAAATATTTGTATATTTTTGTATATATATATAGTATTAACAAGTAGAAATATTACTGTATTCATGCGTCAGTATTTAACACTGTGTAACATGAAGCCGTTTCGCATAGTGTTAAACTAGAATTTTACTATAAAATTAACTGCATTATTACTTTCCATAGCACTGTATTATGAACCATCTGTTTATATATGTATATGTATACCATGTACCTAATGTCTGAGAATCTAGTGATTATTATGTGCCTAAAAGTTGTGTATATGTATATTAGTATATATATTAGTTTATCCATCCAATTGCCTACAGCATCATGTAACATGTAAAAATAACAGCACCAATTACTTGCCCTAGCATTGTATTAAGAAACTAATATATGATATAATATGTATATGTACCCAATGACAATTATACAACCCCTATAATTGCGTATAAATGCATTATTTTTAAAATACTATAAAATTAATTGCATCAATTATCCTCAACGGCACTCTACAATGTACCATCTGCTCATGTATATAAATGTGCCATGTACCTATTGATTATGAAATCGAATGATATAAGCATTGTAAATAGGTATAGCATTGTAAATAAGAAAACAGTATAGCATTGTATATAGGAAGCTGTACCCATGCACCCGCATACATTTCTACGTAACGTGACACAGTAACGCAAAACATCAACGTAGTGTCCTATTATGAAATTAAATAAGCACCTATTACTATTACTAGTTATAACATTATTTTATGGATCTAGAGTTTCAGTATATGAAGTAAGTACGAAATGTTTATGTCACCAATGACTATTGTGTACCAAAATATAAGCGTATACACGCTTTTGTCTATATGTAATTGTGTATGTCCTTGTTTATATGTAATTGTACCCATGTATCTACTAGTGTTATCACATATCTTGGCACTGTATAGTTAATATACATCTATTACGCACTGAATAATCATGTACCTAATGTGTCTGTATATATGTATATGAATTTATGTTCTGTATATATGATAATGTAACTATGCATCTGCACATTTTATCCTGTAACACGGCACCGTATCGCAAAGAACTAACTAGAGCCCCACTCTAAAATTAATTGCACCAAAGACACTGTACTACACAGTACTAATCTAGGGTCTAACTTTTAATTCACTGTACTAATTACTTATTCCAGCATAACATTGCGCACCTAATATTTCAGTATGTGCATGTCTTCTGTAATCTAATGATAATGCTTCAAAGGGTCATAGTGTAAGATCCTAGTTCCTTATTTTTAGGTGCATACTCAACATATGAGTACACACGTTATGTATATATGCTATCGTATCCATGCTTTTGCATACACGTTGTAACATGGAAATGTATTATCCAGTGTCTAACATTAATTAGCTTTAACGCCACTGTATGAAGTACCAAATTTGTATG